ATATACACACACACACACGCACACACACGCACACACACACACACTCACACAAGTACATGTATTATCTCTCCTGGATTTCTCGTTCATTAAACTTGCCTTTTCTCCTTCTCACTGGCGCCTTTGTCTCTCCAATTTTTTTTATCTTCTTTCATCCGTTCTGTTCTATTGTTTTCTTTCCATTTTAATTCTTGCCGGTTCGCTTTCCTAATCCTTTACATTTCTTCCTCTTCATAGATGCATTTTTATTTCAGTTCTCTCGCCCTTTCATCTATCTTTTTTATATTCATTTTACAGTTTCTCCCTTTAACCCGCCACCTTTTTTGGCTCCGTTTCCATCTCTATATTCTTTCGTGTACACTTTTAAAAATCTTACTTTCATCCCTCTTCATTTTTACGTAAGTTTTTTTCTTTCCAAATTATTGAGTTCGACGGATATTTTAATTCTCGTTTCGTCAGGATATAATGGCCACCCAGTGAGGATTAATGTGTCGGCACTTACAACAGAGGAAAAACTTCAGTATGACCAAGGGTTGGAAATGTACAAAGTCAACAAGTTCGTCACAGATCGAATTCCACTGAGGAGACAGATCAATCTTAAAATGCCTGAGTAAGAACTTCCTTATTCTTTATACTTTTTCTTTCATTTTCCGTCCTGGTCTATAGTCATTCGTTACTTCCGATATAATACAAAAAATATAGTTAAAGAAACATTTTTTACAAAACTTACCCCCACATTTATAACTGATTTAAAAGAGACCGCACACCCCTGCACATTTTCGATCTATTGCATACACACGAGACCAAACACGCGCGCACAATTACACACACATTCATATATATACAAAATGGATGCTTTGATACACGGGGCTCGCTGCGTCTATACCATGCTCTTGACCGTGGGATGATGTATACCTTTTCTTGATGAAAGAAATCGTTTTGAGGAAAATAAATTGGCTTTTCGGGCATTCTGTTTGAAACACAAAGTTGGTTATAATGTTTCTAGGTGTTCGGGACTGCACTACGACGTGAGCAGTCTACCTAAGGTGGGCGTGGTTCTCATCTTCCACAATGAGCTGTGGTCGGTGCTGCTACGAGCTGTGTACAGCATCCTAGACGCCGGGCCAGAGGAGCTCATCTCAGAGATCGTGTTGGTGGACGATGCTTCCGACAAAGGTAAGAAAATAACGTGAGTTTTCTCAACGTTGTTGGTACGTGAATGTTTAATGAGATTGTTGAAGACGTTTATAGTGAACGTAGTCTTGAGAATCAAATTATGTCCATGGCAAGCTCATACCATACACTTTACCATTTTTGGCGAACAATTTCGGGTGCAAAACTTACGACTATTCTCCATTACTGGCAAATATGCTCAGCTTTCATGATGACACAAGACAAAGTAGAGAAAGTTGACCCTAAAAAACACGGAGAGACCTTGTTTGGCTATTCATCTAATGCTTGTTTTTCAACGGCAAGTTGTGATGCTGACAGTGAGTCATTTTACAAATATTTTAATAACAAGAGTTTTTATATACAGCTATGCATAAATCATCTCACAAGAAAGCACGCCTCTCTCTCTCTCTCTCTCTCTCTCTCTCTCTCTCTCTCTCTCTCTCTCTCTCTCTCTCTCTCTCTCTCTCTCTCTCTCTCTCTCTCTCTCTCTCTCTCTCTCTCTCACTCACTCTCTCTCTCTCTCACTCACTCTCTCTCTCTCTCACTCACTCTCTCTCTCGTTCACACACATACAGATACACACACACACACACACACACACACACACACACACACATGCACACACACAAACATACACGAATGCACACATACACACACTGCCACAGAACTGTAGAATATTGACCATATCTATTGGAGTTTATGGTTAATCTGTCGGACCATCTGTTCAAGTAGATTGTTTTGTTGTGAAAACGTTTCTTCCTTAGTTCAATGTACAATTCTTAAGCATTCCTTTTTCTCCCAAGGTCTCGACTATAAAAGCCGTATATTTACGTGACAATGCTGACATTCCACGATCCATAAAGCTTTCGATTTTAATGTATGTGTGTGTGTTTGTTGGTTAGTTGGTTGGTTTGTTTGTTTTGGTAGGTGTTTTACGGCGCTCGCAACTGCATAAGGTCATATGAGCACGCAGGACACATTTAACATAATTTTTAGTTTGGAAGGAATTAATTTTTAACTTTGCCCAGGTGATGGCCGAAGTCTACTCTTATCGATTTAGGATCACCAAGGGATCTTTAACGTGCGCAACTTTCACACGGGGCCTCCGACATTTTTTATCCTTATCCGAGAAGGCTAGGCATTAGATCTTACCTACTCTAAGATTACGCCCCTCCAGGTGGGGGGGAGGGAGCATAGTTTGACTATGGGGGAGTAAAAGATACACCTGTCGTGATACTGCGTGTTGTAAGAGGCGACTAAAGGTGCATAGGTCTGATCACCCGAAAAGTGACAGTTTGCGGAGGGCCAACTACCCGACCCAGTAAAAACAGAAAGTTATAAAAACACGAACAAACATGCCTTATAATTTTTCCATCTTGGGAGACCGAGGTGCATCTGTATCAGCAAGAACAATGAAGGACAGCGGACACTGCCGAAAGGACTCTTCCGACCCGAAACCTTCGCTATCGAACAAGTCTCTCCGGATTACGTCATGGAATGTTCGCACCATGTATGAAGCAGGAAAGAGTTTTCAAGTGGCACTACAGATGAAAAGATACAGACTGCACACACTAGGAGTCAGCGAAACCCTCTGGATACAGTCTCGACTGAAGCAGCTCAGCTCGGGGAAACACATCATGTATTCGGGGAGGGAAGACAGGCACCATGTGGAGGGAGTTAGAATTATTTTGAGTAAGTATGCACAGAAATTATTTGGAGGATGGGAACCACACGGTGAGGGGATCTTTCACTACCAGGAGCAAGAGCCTCAACATGAATATAGTACAGATTTGCGCCCCAACAAATGATTCTTCGGATGAAGACAAGGATGCTTTTTTATAGCCGGCTCCAGGGGTACATCGATAAACTACCAAGGAAGGATGTCAACATCATAATGGGAGATGCCAATGCCAAGATTGGTCAGGACAACGTAGGCTGTGAGGGAATCATGGGACAAATGAATGAGAACGGTGATCGATTTGTAAATATCTGGCCAGCTCACTGACAGCTTTAACATCAAGACTGGTGTGAGACAGGGATGTTCACTATCACCTTCCCTCTTTATCTTGGCAGTCGACTGGCTGATAAAGGAAACCACCAGAGGACACAGAAACGGCATACAGTGGACCCCATGGACGCAGTTGGACGATCTGGACTTTGCAGATGCCTTGGCGCTTCTGTCACACACTCAGGAACAGATGCAAACAAAAACAACAATTTTAAACAACCTATCAGAGTCTGTTGGATTGAGGATCCACCCCGGAAAGTCAAAAGTCCTGAGGATAGATGCACTACAAAAGGAGCAGGTCACAGTAGATGGAAATGCCCTAGAAGACGTCGAATCCGTCTGCTATTTTGGGAGTATAATTGGCAGACAGGGAGGAACAGATGCTGAAATAAAGCCCCGCATTGAAAAGGCACAGACTGCATTTATTTCTTTGAACTGGATTTAGAGGACCAGGGATAATATCTCACTACGGAAAAAGCTAAGGATTTTCAACTCAAATTTGAAGTCAGTCTTGTTGTATGGATGTGAGACGTGGAACGCATTCAGACGTGCATTAGAAGGATCCAGGTTTACTTGAACAAGTGTCCTTTAGAAGATTTTGTTTGTTCAGCAGTTAAAGATACCTGTTCGTATTGGCCGCCATGCGCATCATAAGGGCTATAGTCATAGGCATACAGGAGTGAAACTGATATTTTTATCCCCCC